ATGGCTTGACATTGTCATGTTTCCTAGCTCATCTCCTTTCCCTCTCTTGATTAGTTAGTCCTTGAGATAGAATCTCATTTTTTGGAAAACTTTCCACTCTTCAAATGAAATTTCCAACAGAATAAAAAGAAAACTCAAAAACTGGGAGAAAATTGTAGCCTATTGTCCCAGTTACTCTTCTCTCGATTCTGGGACAAATACCAGACACCCAAAGTGAAAGAAGGAAAGATTTATTTCGCTCACAGTTACTGGAAGATTCAGTCCATGTCCAGCTGGCTCCAAGGCAGAGCGCTGGCGCAAGGCAGAAAGCAAGCTTTCATGGCTGCAGCAAAGAGCAAGAGCACAAAAAGGAGGAGCAGCAGCTCAAGCAGCTGGCTTCTCTTCCCTCCTTACATTGATGCAAATTACCTGCCTCAGGGCAGGTGCAGCAGCCCCACCCACAGTAATCTATCCCAAACTCCAGAAGATGCCCCAAGACTGCATGAGGCTTTCAGGGGACACCTATACACAAACCGTAACACCTACTGTCCCTCTGACAAAGGCCTTCTATCTAGAACGTATAAAGAATTAAAAGGGCTGGCCAAATAGCTCAGTGGATTAAAGCACATGCAAGCAGGCACAGGAGCTGCCCCTGGGCTTGCCGTGCCAGCCCTGCCCCCCAGGGGTGCACTGAGAGGGCGAATGAGACTGGGCATGGTGGCGCACACCTGTAATCCCAGATCTTTTTTTTTTTTTTTTTTGGTGGAACTGGAGATTGAACTCAGGCTCCTGTGCTTGCCAGGGAAGCACTTATTCCACTGAGTCATCTCCCTGGCCCCCAATCCCAGCTCTTGGGAGGCTGTAAACAGGAGAATCACTAGGAGTCTGATCTAGTAGTGAGACCCTGAACACCCTGTAGACCCTTCCCTAAAATACAGGAAAAACAAAGAATTAAAAAAAAATCAGCCCACCCAAATTCAAAGACCCAATTCAAAAATGGGCACCTGAGATGAATATATACTTCTCAGATGAAGAAATGCAAATGGAAAGTAAATATACGAAAAAATGTTCAACATCATTGGTTATTTGAGATATGCAAATTGAAATAACACTGAGATTCCATCTCATCCCAGAAAGAATGGCTAACATAAAGAAGTCAGCCAATAACAAATGCCAGAGGGGCTGTCAGGAAAAAGGAACCCTTCTGCATTTGTGAGAAGGAACACTTCTCACATAGTAATATATGTGCACCCATGTTTATAGCAGCGCAATTTGTCATAGCTAAATTTTGGAAACAGTGCAGATGCCCATCAACTGAGGAATGGAAAAAGAAGATGTGGTATTTTTACACAATGGAATATTATTCAGCTATAAGACAGGACAAATTTGAGGCTTTTACTGGTAAATGGATGCAACTAGAGACCATACTCTTAAGTAAAATAAATCAGACCCGCATGTGCAAACATCATTTTGTCTCCTTAGTGTGAGAACCTGAAAGAAAAAATAAAATCTGAAGCATACAACAGATACTGGGAAAAGGGAATGAACCTATTCAAAAGAAAGAAATTACCGAGTTGAGGATAAAGACAGGACAGGTAGTGAGGGAAAGAGATATATCTATGTATGTAAGCAGAATGGTTTTGGGCACCAGGTGGCAAATCCCATGAAAATAGACAGAGCAGAGTCAGCCCAGGCTCTCACAATGAACACAGGGCACCAAGGTGGCAAGCCTGACCTCCCCATGGGCCCCAAGCTGCCCTGAACAATGGCAGCTGAGGATTCCAGGCTTTCCAACTTTGCTTCTGTTCCAGGCTCACTCATTCATCCCTGTCTCCCAGGCCAGTGTGCCACTTGGCCCAGGCTCAGCCCAGGCATTCTCAGATACTGGGATGTGGGGACCCAAGCTGCTGTCCCACTATCTCCATAGACCCACTCATGTCATCTCAACAAAAGAGACAACAGGGAGCCAGAATACTTGATCTTTCACCAAGGCTGAATCTGCTGCAGGACTCTCAGCAACATACAGGAAGAACCTTGCTGGTCTTGCAGGAGCATGTGCCCAGCTAGGGATTCTGGGATTCTCATTCATGTGTTTCCACCTGCGTCCCACACAGGCTGGGTTGTGGTGGGGACAGGGGAGAAACAAGGTCATGGAGCATGCATCCCCTGGATCCAGCCACCCCAGTGCTCTCAGCCTCTGTCCTGAGATGCTGGTGTTTCTGACTGGTTCTTCTGCTCAGCCTTTCCCAACCTGCTGTTTTGCAACACTGGCCCTGGGCAGCCACATCCTTTGCCTAATGGTGTCCATGACCCACATCATCACTGGCCAGTCACCAGTCCCCAATCTTAACGGTTGCATGTGCTCTCTCTGATCGTATCTCTGAATGTGCCCATGGTGGCCTGGTGCAGACCCTATCAGGGGAACCAGATTCCTGTGCCCAGGCCCTGCTACTTAACAGTCCCATTGAAGACCACCAGTGAGGGGCCTCAGGTTGATCCCGCCGAGATAAGGGACCCATTGCTGCAGAGAACAGCACACACAGTATGACTTTCACAAAGATGACCTTCATGTCACTTACTAGGCTGTGGTGATTGTAGAGGAGGGCATCCCTAACGGCTCCTTCTCCCTTACCTCTGTTTACTCCTGTCTGGCAGTTGTTGCTGTCTCCTCAGGCATACCTGCTTTTCCTCAGACACAGCCTTGTCCTCCCTCTCTTTTTCTCTAGGCTGGGAACCAGACAGCCTCTGGCGGCCTGGGGGTCAGCCTCCCTGTAGTATCACAGCATTATCTCAGCTGGGCCCTGGAAGCACAGACTCATGGCCCTGCATTCTAGTGCTGGTGCTCCTGGACTCTTGTTGTCCACCCTGTACTTGAGTGTCTGTGTGAGAAGTTCCTCAGACCTGCCACCAGCCACTGGGCCTTCCAGGAGGTTCCCAGGCAAAGCTTGATTCTGTTTGGAAGAGGGTTGTCTGCCTTGAGCAGAAACGAAGAGGGAGAGGGAGAGAGCCAGGAAATGGGAGGAGAGGGAAAGAGAGAGTGTGCGCTGGGGCACCTTGTGGTTCCCTGGGCCCATATGTTACTTAGATATCATGTTGTTTTCATCAGTATGGGTCACAGTAGTCCAGGGTCTCACATTGTTGGTAAGCATGCCCTATGTGAGGCTACTACCAATTTTGGATTCCCAATCCTGTATTGAGGTGGACTGTTAAATCCCTAGCAACCACTATGATCTGTATGACCTTGCGTATCCTGAATCATACTTGGTCACAGTCTACAGGGGCACATTGGAGCCCAGAATTTGAAGATGGGTCCTAGCTGGTGTCCTGGGGACACATGCTCTTCCATGATTTGGATATTTCGGACAGATAGTCCTCCTCTATGATGTTAGCTCCCCTACTTCTGAGTGTGATTTGGTGTGATGGTGAGCTGCTTGTACCTCAAGATACTGGTTGCAGGTCCTGCCACACATCAGTTGACACTTTCTTGATTACCATCCTGGGCCAAGTAAGTCAGTCTTCCCTTTGATGCTACAGTTTACCTGTTGAAGTTGAGTCTGGGTATCCTGGAACCCAGAAAATGACACAAGACCTTTTTTTGCATCACCAGTTACCACCCATCACAACCTGAGGTTCAATGCCACTTCCTGCTTGCCCACTCCTCCAAAGCAGGACAGGACAAACCCCTGCCCACTTCCTGTGGATGCAGGATAAAGAGGCCAAGAGGCCTAGGGAGGAGGAGTGTGGAGTCCTGTCATGGTAAGTCCCATCCCTACC